AGTCCAGTGATCTCGCCAATAGCGCTTTTTTCTCCTAGCAGAGGTGGAATCATGACTCGCCAAAGCTCCACCAGGGTACGTGCGCGTAGTGCCCAAGGTCTTTGACCTCCAATCAATCCATGGCTCATGGTGTTCTAACCATGCCATTCCTATTTTGAGGTCATACCTTGCACCCAAGTCTAAGACTACTACGCGTGGTGAGATGAAATCACTGCCTCTCATTAGCAGCTAATCATCAGGGCGTGTACACTGGATGAATTGTAGCCAACAACGCTGTGTTGCAGCACACCTTTTCCAATACCGACTGTCTTTGTGTCAAAATCATGGCTAACACTTAGCTTACTGTACGCCTGCGCGATTCGCCAAACGCCGGTATCACTTTTGAAGAGAAATTTGCTGCCAAGTTGGAAGTTTTAGTCTAATCACCAAGCCTGTTTCGTGCTTCGCGTTGAAAAAGCTTAAATGACGTTATACAATCTCTTTGGTGAGATCAATGCCGTGCGATGCATTTTTCGATTCCGGTAACCATGCTAATACATGATCCACTTTCCTTTTGAAAATATACGCCTCGTCTTGATATTCATTTATCAAAAGATTAGAGACACTTCTTTGCTTAGAGGAAAGTAAGCTAAGGTTACCGACCTTACGTCCTTTCCGAGAGCCAGTACTAGTGTAGCGGATTGCAATCCGCTATTTCTTAGAACTTAAGCCTGACCAAGGAAACGAACACTGCTTTTAAAAAACGACACTGTATTATTTTTTTAGTTGCGGCAGAGACGCCAAAATATAAAACCCTAGGCTATCCTCATTACTATAGTAATATATAATTAATATATTAATTTGCATTACTACTGGCAATCCACTGGCAATTGTTGTGGCTCCTTGTTACGTTCTAGCCACACCACTGTGTTATTACACTCCATGTATAATACACAGCTATGTACGGTCGCACAATCTTGTGCTTCCCGCCCTTTCTCAGAAGTGCACGTATAACCCCGTTACACATGGTACACTCAAATCCATCAGGACTTTTAATGACTGGAGCACTGGTGTATAAAACCAATAGCACTGGGCTATGAGCTCCATGCATCTTTGAAGAGAGTCGTTCGTTTAGAGCTGAGTGTCACCGACCACGACCTTCATGAGGTACAGTAGAGCCCAATTTTTTACCAAACGATCGTCTTGTGCCTACTGAGATGCTTTCCGAATGATCCTCATTAACTATCCATGCGTTAGTATTTGATTATCTGTACATCTCAGCCGAGAGCGAAAATGGCACACAAGACTTTTATATTTGGAACTGAGACAGACAAAATATCTGCAAGTACCGCGGAGCTGATCGGCAGATAAGAAATTTCTCTCTTCAACCTCATCATAACTGATGTCCATTGCCTCGGGCATGCTCACAGAGCTCTTATTTCAGTATTCCATCCTGTACTTAGCGTTCAATATGCTTCCACGATATGAGCTGGGTGGATGTGGACGGTACGTACCACTTCAGAATTCTTTGTTAAGATGGCAACGGCGACCGCATTCAGGAGAGGTCGGACGCGATCGCAGCGATACAAGTTATTTAGTTCGGGATATAGTCCGCAAGTTTGTGCCTCTCTTCAAAACTTTTGAGCACACCCGATACGACCGGTTGTGTGGTAACAACATTCGCGCATTTATCGCTTCACATCTTTCCACGCTGTGAAACTCTCTTCTACTGCACACGTAAATAACTGTAATCGCGCGCAGCGTCCTAGCATCAAGGCCGCTAGCGCGCCGAGCTGTCGCTCCGTCTGAAGCATTCTTTATCTCATCTTTCCTATAAATGTTGTCCGTCTCTGTTCGCGAAGGCCTGGACGCCCAACTTCTGTAGCCACGATGGGTTTCACCTGGTTGAGGCGTCTCTGAATGTCTCATCGGCACATTCCTTAGGCGGTGGGTGCTTCCAGGTGAGCAATTACAATTTCCAGCCCCATGACCGCCCGTTTCCTGATCCAATCGGGAATCAAAATAGACAAACACTTGTTTTTTGTTTCTGAGACGGAAAACCGAGCATTTCATGATTTTTTCTTGCAGAGGATACAGTTCTTTTACGACTTGGTTGAGAAATCGATTAGATTGTTACCAAGTACAACGCGGTTGTCGTGCTCTTCGCACAGAGAAAGCTTTAGCTTTGTAGTCTGTAATCACAAGCTCATAGAGATCAGATTCGTGTGTTTCCACCAGGAGAGCCTTGAAGGTAACCTGGACTATTAGTTTGCTTCTAGTTTGTTCTTCTAGACTTCAAGCTGCGTAGACAAATTCGAGATATCTACGCCTTACTATCTCTGTTAATAGAACTTTAGTTATCTTCTGACGCGCCATCAGGAGCCCACGTAGTTATGATTACTCTTAGCTACACCAAAGTGCGCTGTGTAATTTGTGCGATTGTATCAAATTGTTTTTCATACAACTTGTAGCAGGTGTGTAAGGAGTAAGTGCACAATATTCCAATATTGCAGGTGGTCTGCTCGGATATATGAGGGCCACAATACGGAGTCATTGTGCTAAGAAATCATAGAAGGAGTGAAGAGGTGGAGAATGCTTCTGGTCCTTGCGGTATGCGGTACGAACTTGAGATCCTACCAGACAAATTTCGCTATCGAACAAATCAAGCGAAAAAGACTTCGTGGTTGGCGAATTGGCGAGTAAAACCAAATAACAAATCAAGATAAAATATACTAGTCAAGGACTTTCTTACTTTACCTTGATTATAACTTATCTCTCAACGCTACACTTCTTCACTAATATCACACACTTTGCCGTAATTTTTTTTTGGCGTCTGAACAAGCATGTACATATACTTCACCTCACTCTCATCTTCGATTCGTGCCTCTTTCATCTTGATGTCTACCTTATCCTGCGGTGGATGAAAGCTCTTAACTCTTGCCGCAAGTGACTTCGGGACAATTTGAAAAACCTCTAGCGTCGTGTGCAGCCGAGGTATCGCGTACTGGCAAACTGGTTCCACAATCGACTTCACTGCGAGCTGAAATGAATTAGCTCCAAGCCACTCAGCTATGCGTTTCGTGACTAGAATCTGACCACCAGCTCCAAGGTCTCCAACTTCATTTGCAATGACCTCAGACGCTCCAGTGTAAATCAATTTCTTAGTCACCACGTGCACATCTCGTACAAGGGCCCCTTCCGAACTTGCTGCATCGTGAACGCCCATACGAACTCGCAAGCCACTAAAGATTATTTTAGTACCAACCCGAACTTTACTCGTAGCTGGTACAAGACCATGAAGACGTTTCGGCCAGTTTGCATTCAACAACTGAAGCTGTGCTGCTAGACAGTATTCAATAGCCTCTTGAATCGTATGGAACGCCAATTGAAACGAATCTCCGGCAGTTGTGATCTCGTATCCATGATATGGTGCTAGCAAACCTCGAAGAATGTCATCGTGTATTCGTGTTGCCTCTTGCATGATTCGACCGTCATCAATCGCCCAGAGAGCACTTGAAGACTCAATGTCCGTATAGATAAATACTGGATTGACGTAAGGCAAATCACAGCCGTTTGGAATCGTTTCATCTCGATGTTGAATATACCTCGACTGAACCTCATCAGGTACACAACAATGCAGATATCGAACGACGCATAGTTGGCTGCATCCAGTGACTATTGAAAGAGCAAACCCTCGAATGTAATAAGCAACAAAACTAATCCCAACTAAACTTGTAAGATGAGGAATATGTCCTGGCGTCGCATACATAACAACGGACGAAAAGAAGAATTGAAATACGAGTAACGCATAGACTAACATGATCCGCTTCAAACGGCGATACAATGGACTAGCCACAAAATGTCCGTGCACACTTTCATAATTACGTCCTTTGACTTTCAAAATCACGACAGTGACGATCATGTAGCCTAGAGTCAAAGTCTGCAAGCTATAAACACCAAGTAAAATAATGTAGGCGTAGTTTGAGTAACCAGAATACACGATAACAAGTGCAATCTCTGCAGCCAGAAAAAGAAAAATAATTAAATGACCAAGCCACGCGTACAAATGAATCTTAGCTCGCTCATATTGGTCGCCACGGTCCATTGAAAATTCCACGAGTTTCGAAAGCTCATAAATTAGCAAAAGCAACCAGATAGCAATACCAAAATGAGTTGTGTCGCCGATAATGATGGTGGCGGTCACCCATCCCATTTGACGCTTTCCCAACTTTAACACAGCACTTGTTCCTAGTCGATAAAGTTCTGTTCCAATTAAAGATAGTCCTTCCAAGTCATCACCCGTATCAGCGGTTTGTGCTGCATATATTGTGAGCCAAACAAAGTATATCAATCTAGTTGCTGCACCAATACATTGGTAGATAAAGAAAACCGCAAAGAGCCATTGAACAGTGGAAGCACGAACATTGCAGTCCCGATACAATTTATACACGAGCAATGCAGTAGCCACCGCCGATAAGGCTAAGGCACTGATACACAAAAGTGCCCAAAGCATTATGACTAGGTGAAATTTTAAATTCTTTAATGATTTTCCCGCTGGACGTGCGAAAGAGTGAATGCTTGACTGGGACGAGGGTGTGCTTATCTGTCCGCCTCAAAAATCTAGCTTTTCTTGCAAAGTCATCAACACGAATCTACTTAAATCGTAAAATGAGAAAGAGCTTAACAGTTTGTTGAAGAACCGTGGTATGTAAATAAAGCAAACGGTTTTCAGCGCAGTTTGTTTTTTCAGTAAAATAGATTGCTTTCTTCTTGACCTGATCGTATGGAATTTCTTAGAAGTCACACCGTAACCTGTCCCAGCGCATACTAGTTGTGCGACGAGGGCAATTAAGTAACGTTGATCATTCCGACTCTTTCTTGCGTTGATTCAGGGCTTGTCATTACGCGAAAGGATGAACAGAAACAAAAAATAGAAGGCTTTGAAAACTTTGAAAGCTAAAAAAAAGAAATTGGTTTCGCCATTGTCCTAAATTAAATTGTGTCGCCGTTTTTCGGTTTCTAGAAATGTACGCAACTATCTCGAAAACTACTGACGTTGGGGGATGGAGGGTTTGCCGACACTTGTCGTGCCTGAGGATCCAGAGACTGGAGCTATCGAGAGACCCAAGACTCCTCCAGCGATTGAAATTGACGAAAAGAGATTAATAAATAGCACGACTTATGTACCTGTTAAGTCTGAAGAAATATTATATGCACCAGAGGCATCCATTGCATCCCCTGACGTTCAAATGACTCCACCCCATGATGTGATAGAAGAAGAAACATTGGAAATTGGAAAGTTAATTGAAGAGAACCCACAACTTTTATCAGCTCGACATGAGCCTGACATTTTTGAATCATCTGACGCAATGTTAAATCCTATAAGAGAAAACGAACATCCTGTTGAGAATCCAGTATCAATTGTCAATGTTGACGCAAATGAAGAGCAATCTGAATTGACAAGATCTCGATCAGCTCGCGCTGCATCGTTGAGTAGTAAAGATTTCAAAGCAATGTCGAAACGAGCTGCAGCAACAGCCAAGCTTGACCGACTTGCAGGCGGTAGTAAATCCGTATTTGATGCCAATATGAATGACATTGCAGCATTGGGTATTGGTATGGAACTCTACTTTTTACTCATTAAATATTTAAGCTGGGCCTTTGTCACCATGGGAATTATATCTCTCCCAGCTATTTTAGTCAATTATTTTGGCCATGGTGTGACGACCAAGATGGTAGATCCACTCCAACTAGCATATGCATCGCTTGGAAATCAGGGAGTGAATCCAGACATTGCATCTGATCCCACACAGTGTCTTCCACTGGGTGAAATTGACTGCACTGGAGCTACCGTTGATACACCATTTACAAAGAATCCAGAGACCGTAGCGTGGATCGTGACATCAAGCGATGCTATCTACTCGTTAGTATTTCTAATTGTTTACCTTCTCTTTCGTCGACACGCGCGACGAGCGATTGATGCTCACCAGAATGAACACCTCACACCGGCTAAATACGCCATTTTTGTGCGTGGTCTGCCACCGGATGCGACAGCTCGCGAAGTTCTCGAACATTTCAATCGCTACGATCCGACTCAAGACGAGACCTACTATCCATTATGGCTCGGTTGTTGTTGGGGTCGACGTCCACGCCGTGTCAAGCACTCGCTATCAAAAGGTGCCGTTAATTGCAACGTTGTGCGCGATCTTGAGCATCTATGGCGCCCTAGTGGTCCAAGACCTGGAACGGCAAGCCAGCAAGCAAGGCGAAAGTCTGTTGGACAATCCAGAGTGAACTCGGTGAACTTGACAAAAGGTGATATTGCTAATGCTTCTTACTATGAGATCAAGCAAGACGAATTTGACATGTACCTTGGCACATGGATTGCCGAGGTGAGTATTGCTCACCCGACTGGTGGATTATTACGAACGTTTCTAGCAATGGAAGTGCTTACTCGCAAAATTGCGGAAGCACAAGCGCTTGTTGATATTCTCACTTTGGAAAAAGAGGAAGCTGAGGTGATACTACAGCAATGGGTCCCACCACCAGGTAAAAAGAAGCCAAGGAAACCAAAGTCGACATTCAAAAAGGCCGATGAGTTGTTGTTACAGGTTACCATAACAAAACTGGCACGTCTTCAAGCTGCTATGGCGAAGAAAACTAGCAAATTAAAAGCATTAAAACATGCAAACAAGCAGCAGAAAAATGAAGGCGTTGGTGCCATAGATGGCTCAGTCTCAAATAAGTCGAAAGCAACTAAAAAGAAAGGATCAGACGCTAAAGTGTTCGATTGGAACGCTTGTGAGTGCGCTTTCGTCGTCTTTAATAATCTTGAATCCCGTCGACGCTGTCTTCAAGATTATCGACGTTCAAATCAGCGGTTACCACGCAAATTTCAGCCAAAAGGATTGCGTTTTCGCAACGGTGAATACTCTCTTACAGTGCTACCTGCTCCTGAGCCGTCAAACATATTATGGGAGAATCTTGAAGTGACAGCAAAATCTCGTCGTCTTCGACGCTCTTTTGCTAATGCAGTGACGTTTTTACTATTACTTTTTTCCGGTGTCATCATCTCTGCAGCCCAATCGGCTCAGCAGACGTTTAAGGATAAAGCACCTCCTCCAGGTCTTTGTCAAACCACTTTACCCGAGATTTTTTACGCTAGTCCAGACTTTCTTGATGTCAAAGGTGTGACGTGGGAACTCGAATGGAATCCCAATGCTACGTGTTCTCTAGGTGAGCATGGTGAAACGCGATATCATGTAGCGTATTCGAATGGAATTCTCAACAATATTATTGTGCAAAATCCTACATCTTCGATCAATAATTTAAATCGCTGTATAGATCCGTGTATTTCCGAAAAATCGAGCACGAAATGTAACACGCTGGAGTGTTTTAATCGTGAAATTCGTGAAGAAACGGGTAAGGAGTGTGGAACTTACTTAGCAAGTCACGTCCTTTATTGTCTTTGCACATCTCAAGTTCAAACGAGCATTGCAGACTATGGAGTGATAGGTGGACCACAGGAACTATGGAAGACTTTCATTCCATGTCGCGGGTTTTTAACCGATTATATTGCCAAAAATGCGTTCATCATTCTCGCATCAGCTGTTGTTGTCATTGTAAACATCATTTTGAAGTCTACACTACGGAGATTCGCATCATTTGAACGACACACTAGTGAATCAACTAAAGCTTCAGCTGTAGCACTAAAAATGTTTGCTGCACAGTTTCTTAATACTGCTATCATCGTGCTTGTAGTAAATGCCGCACTTTCGGTAAGTGCTATTCCCATAATTGGAGATCTTTTTCGAGGCAAATACAGTGATTTTCAACGAGATTGGTACCCAACAGTTGGAATGGGAGTCACGATGACGATGTTGATCAATGCTGTTATGCCACAAACTATCTTGCTATTGCAATTATGTCTCATTAGTCCATTAAAACGCTGTCTAGCACGTCGAAGCGTACGCACACAAGAGAGAATGGACAAATTGTATGCAGGCCCTAAATTTGACTTAGCAGTTCGGTATCCAATGATACTTAATTCAGTTTTTGTGACGTTAGTGTTTTGTGGAGGTTCTCCTGTGTTGCTCTTTATCGCAACATTTGCTTGTTGCGCAACATACTGGATCGATAAGTTGTCGTTACTCTGGCTTTATAGTGTTAAAACAGCGTACGATGAAGCATTAGGCGAGACTGTACTTGGTTTGCTACCATGGGCATTAGTGGCTCATTTGGCCTTTTCATGTTGGATGTATGGTAACACAGATTTGCTACAAGCACCAACAATGAAGCTTGGATGGGTCTTTGCACTATTTGGACTTAGTACAGATGAAGGTCTTAGTACGGATGACATGTACAACAAATTGGTGGCTCAAGCTGCAGCATTTGATCCATTGGGAAAATATGGCTTTATTGTCAAAGTTCTTCATGTCAATGTCATGCTTATGTTTCTTTTGTTTATCTTGGTATTGCTTGGAATTCTTCTTTCTGCGGTATGGGAAAGAGTATTGCTTCCTGTGCTCCGCAACACTCTTGGTCGCATTTTTCTGCCTATTTGGCGCCGTTTACGATGTCGCTGTTCGTGTTGTCGACGAAGGAACGAGGTCAAACCGATGCCTTCCATTAACACTTTACCTATTAACGACGCGCAGAGGACAAATGGTGGAAGATCAGCAAAAGTAGCTATTGACACGGATCATTCGACAAGTAGTGCTGTCATGTCGAGAAATATCACAACAGATTCAATAGTCACCTCGATCGGCTCCGAGCTTGTAGTGAAAAAGTCTTCAGCCTGGACAGCTTCTACACCGACAGAAACCGTTGTACCCATAGCGTCTGATTTAGAACCAAGTCAAGTGGTGCTGCCAGAATTTACTGATATCTTTCGCAAGTCTGTGGATGCAAAGTTTCGACCGGATGCAAAACTAGGATTTAAACGCGATCCCGATCGTCCAGCTGAGCTCGTTCGATATTGGCAGGAAGACACTGTAAGCAATGGATACCATCGCAATTCGGGTGATTTGATGCGAACGTGGGAAGCTATTCAAGCGCCAGTCAAAGCTTATGCGATAGAGGCGAATGCAAAGTATAGGCTTGCAGTTGCCGAGCTTATAACAGCTTCAAGACGAGCTCTTACAGCTCCAGAAATCGATGTTATATCACCCACATCTCCTGCGGTTAATGGAGACGCAGTTGGAAAAAATTCTCATGAATGAATTTATTTGATTACCATCCGCAGTTATAGCTCAAATGGTGAGGTCTTACTGCTTATCTCTTTGACATATATCTACGTTTCCGTATTGGGTATTTTCTGTATATTGCATGAAAAGCTCACTTGGCCTCCGCCATTGTATAAAAGCCTTGGGCGTATTTTCTGCCAAATTCAGCCGCCGACTTTGGTGAATGCTTTAAAGCTTTGCGCGGACTCTCGTTGAGCTCCTATACAAACTTGATGTCAACGACCACAATTCAGAAGCTACAAAATCTAGCACCTTAAAAATGGCTTCGATGTCACCGCCGAACTTGTTGTACATGGCCTCAAGCTTCTCAGCTACTCGCGAGTCATACTCAAGTGAATTTGAATGCTCTCGACTATCTTTCGTCGCATGAAGTCCTTTGCTTGCTTTGCATAACTCCATCTCGGAGACCGTTGAGCCTCGCTTAGCTTCCATTTTCGGACGTCTTCTAGGATCTGGATTTGATGGGAGAATATATTTGTAAAATTTCGTATTATAAAAGATTGAAATTTATTTGCGATACAATATCTGCTGTGACCTTTGGAAATCGACAAAATTGCTCTTCTTAGAGCGAATGAAGCAGCATATTGTCATGCAATAAATGCGTTGCGTCAGAATGGCTACATTCCAGCTAGCCATCGACTTTTTTTGGTACAATAAAAAGCTCGTCATATTGAGTTTCTTTTGATTAAAAGCATGCATTGTGGTCCACGTTGCTGAGCATCAGCTACAAGCATCTTCAAAACACGTACAGATCTTTAATTTGGATGTGAGCCAGTATCTAAGCACATTTGAAATGGAGCTTTGAAATTTTTTATAGCTAGTATAATTCTATTACTAGCTCTTTAAAATTAACAGATTTTAATATCAACTACCCCGCTATAATGACTTCAGATGATTTGACAAAAATCAAGGACGAATAGTATGGACGATTGCCACCACAGAAATTTCAACATTGTATTTTGTCACCGACTTGTGGCACCCTGCCACCACTGACAGGTATGGAGAAACGCCATTCCGATGTGGCGAAAGCAAGAAGTTATTTTGTGAATTGAAGAACATGGCGGGCGTGTGCCCAGTAGAGCCGTTACCCATTTTCGATCGCTCGGTCTTGCTGTGGATGGTGCCGCAGTCAGAAAGTGGTGGCG